GCAACGGCGGCGGCAACTAGTGTTGTCTGGTACCCACTGGCACATATAATAAATTTCCGTTTCAAAGAACAGTCTTTTTTGACTTGCAGTGAACTGAAGAGCAACAACGGCCACAGATGCGGCCATAACTACAGCAAGAGACTGAAGTCGACTTCAAAAAAGAAAGATCTCAAAAACAGTACAGTGCCGCGATTAGATGTCCTTGCTTCCCTTCTCAGAGAACTGCATCAGCGAGATGATGAAGATGGCAAAACTAATCGCCTGACGCAACCTCCCTCCTTCTGCGATTTTACGACCTGACCATTTTTGTGGTCGTCCTTCATTCAACCAGACATCCCAGTGTTGAACTTTGCCTCCTGGCTAAAAGCAGTCACCAATTGAACAGGCAGGCAAAACAAGCAAAAATTTTCAAAGCGCTTTTAGCTTGGAAACAGCAGAAGGCAAAAGGCCGCTTTTGCTCTGACCCTTTTTTCTCAGAACACTCAGCAGACACACTCAGTCCTTGGAAAGCATAAAGCTGCAAGCTGTTCAATCACTACTACCACATATAAAATGCCCGTCACCAGTCATCTCTGATTCAGTTCAGCCAGCCCTGCCTAAGCACACGCAATCAGTTCACTTTTAAAACTTGAAACTTCAGCGTTTTTCTCCAACAAAATGTTGGTCACCAAGCACTTGAAGATGCGTACGCTTCTTCCTCTTCTTCTACTCACCATCCGAAGCCTACTGCTGCTGTTCATTGTCGCCTCACCCCAAGCCGTTGAGAGCTTCTTCAACTGGGCCCAGGAAAACAGCGCCGACAGCACCAACGGAGAGGAGAACCTCTTTAATCTGCAGAACGAGCCGACCAGGAAGCTGAATGCCAATGTCTGCCTGCCACCCGGTGCCTTCTTTCTCGATCAGCTCAAGTCGGCAAAGAGCCGTCGGAAGGTGCTGGAGGAAACGTTGAAGCACAGCTTCGACGCCTACCTCGAGCACGGCTGGGCAATGGGCAAGAGTGTGCAGTACTTTTCGGTTTTCGGCGCCACCAACCAGCCTCCTACCGATGTCAACCTGAAGGTGGTTCTCGACGCGATGAACACCTTCAAGCTGCTGGGCATGAGCGAGTACTACCACAAGGCGTCGCACTACGTCGCCCACCACCTGCCCAAAGTCTTTCGCGCCCGCCTCCTGCCGCCCTCTCTCAGCCTCTACCCCAGCCTAGTCACCGCCTACCACCTGACCGGCAACCGGAAGTACTACAACCACGCCGTCGACATTGGCCTCCACGAGGTGCGCCACCTGTGGCCGTTGGAGGCGGCGGTGCTGCACTCCGCCGGGAGCGCACCAAAACGCGCCGAGTACCTCGCCAAACTGGAGACCGACTTTGACACGCTCTTTGATGAGCACACCTACGACCGCGACTCCATGTGGAAGCACTACTGGATGCTCGGTGAGTACTGATCACTACCTTTCGATTTTAAAAGCTATTAATTTATACTTTTTGCTGTCTATTACCCTAGTGAACTTGCACCGCTACTCCGCCTTCTCCACCAACTTCACCATCACCAACTTCAACTACTGGCTGCGGCTGTGCACCGAGACGGTCGCTATGGAGAACTTCGAGCTGACGCCAAAGCTGTTCAGCACCCGCCGCTGGCCGAAACTGCAGTACATCAGCCCACTGGAGGGCTCCATGCACAGCGTCGACTGCGCCTGGGGCGCCACCATGGTGCTCGCCTCGCAGGCCACTGTCGACTCGGTGCTGCTTGGCCGAGGCAGCCGCCCTACAGCCCCCGCCAATGTGCAGCTCGTCTGGTCGGACGGCCGACTGCTGAACACCGGCCTCAACATCACCGACACCTGTCGGCTGGGGGCGGCCGTCAGCCCTCACCGGCTGCCCCTCCATCGAATGGCCCTCGACGAGGACCTGGAGGAGGTGGACGAGGCGACGCTGGCCACCATCAATCAGATCAACGGCGGAAGCGGAAACGGAAACGGTGGTGCTGGCAATGGCTACGATGACCTCAGCGCCGACATCGCCTTTGGCGGTGGCAGTCCTCATAAGTTCCTCTGCGAACCCTCGAACTTCCTGCGCTCTCGATCCCCGCCGACTCCTGCCGCCCTGAGCAGCACCTATCACCTGAGCAGCATGGGCAGCTACCAGTTGCAGTCTCAGCTGGCCCTGTCCTACTTCGTCGCCTACCGCGTCACCCGCAACGAGTACTACCGAGAGTTCGCCTGGGAGCATTTTCTGGCGCTGGTGGAGCGCTGCCAGAAGGAGCCCAGCCACGCCTATGCCTCGCTGACCAAGGACGGTCTGGTGAATGTGCTCAAGTACCCCTCCGACCCCGCAGAGCAGGCCTCGGTCTTTTTCGGCGAGGTCATGCGCTACCTGTACCTTACTTTTGATGACGTCTGGAAGTATCCTCTGCAGAAGTACGTTTTCACGGCCAACGGGAATGTCTTTTCCATTGAGGAGTGAGTGCAGTGACTCATTATTCAACTTAGCTTTTGCTATTTTTTTTGTTTTGCAAGAACTAAATAAACTCTAGAAGATTTAAGCATTAAATTAGGCAAAAGTAAAACAAAAAACTTTAAATAAAAACATAACATTAAAAATTCTTTTAATCTTTTAAGCACAGGCATAACTCCCACTTTATTTTTAAAAAAAGTATTTGTGTTAAATGCATTTTGTTTTTTACAGTCATCCGGATTATTTTTTGTTTATAATATTGTTCATTTTAATTTATGACAATAAATTTCAAACCCAACAAAAATACTTATCAATGTCAAACTAGAGATAAAACACTGAAAATAAAATACAAAAATATTTTTTTTTGTGTTTAAGTTAGAATTTGTTAAATTAGTTGAAATTGATGTTTCTAATTCTTTGTTAACGGGTTGGTTTGTGAAATCAAAATTAAACATACTGACAAAAACAGGTGTTTCCTAAAAACAAAAAATATTTGTTACTGTTTTACAACAACAACTTTTGCATTAATTTTTTGTTTGTTGCATTTTTTACATAAAAAGCTGCCACAATCTGATTATCAGGAGGCCAACTATGTACGTACCGCAAAGTGGCGGGCTCTTGTC